TGGCTGACCTAGACGTAGAAGTTCCAAGCATCACAGTGTCCTGAGAAAGACACCATTTAAATTGTGAATGCATTAAGTAAAATTTTCTAAGGCACTAACAACTGAGCTGGCACTACTTCTGCCAAAATCAGTAGAAGTTTAAATTGAAACTGAAAAGAGACATTGTCTGAATTCTTAGAAAAATCTTGCTTTTAGTACCAGTTTCTTGAACAGAAACATATATGCTGAATATGTACATATCTGTTCTTAAAAATAAGACACAAGTGTAACGTCTTCTCAAAACTACTCTTTTATACTAATATCCAATAAACCATAAAAAGAAAAAAAAAAGATTAAGTAGTAATTTCAGGGCATTAGATGCAGTTTCTCCTGTAATTTTAACTGCAGATCTTGTAGGCACGTACAAGAATATTTTAGATTTGTTCTATTTCAGTGAAATGGTTTTAATTGTATTTATCCATAGTTATTGCAGTTCTGTAAATTTTTAATTGTGACATCATCAATCCTTTATGCCCAGATGAGAATTTGAACTTGATGTATTTTTAAGCTTTCATTCATTCATACACACAGAAATGATTTCATTGATCCCTTTGCAAAGGTATGTGGACCAAGAAGACGTCTGAGGTTTGAAAATCTGTTCTGGATGAAATTTCTGAAAACTTTCACTCTTTTGATGTTTTATTTCATCTTAAGTTCATTTTATGATATGTCTTACAGATTCAGATCATGAATGTATTCATATGCAGTATAAATATCTTTTTCTTTTAATTTTGATAATATACAATATATTTTTTCTCCACAATAACTATTGGAGGTTTTTATACTCTGGAAAGCCAAGTAATATACATTGTAAACTCAGCTTTTTGGAATTTTAAAGATTTTTAAAAGCACTTCTGTTCAGCACAGATAATTCTGTACAAAAACACTGTTCACAATTTTGCAGGCTGTCTTCAGAATTAAGGGGTTTGTAAGTATCCTGGTACTTACTGTATGTGGGCTGAGATCTATTTCTCAGTACAACAATTGCAAATTTTATGCTCTTTCCACATATCCACACTGATAGAAAGACTAAAGAAAGTATGAAATATATTTATATTGTGTCTTCTAAACAGAGAAAAAATTATTTGGTATTTGGGTGCTATTAAAATTCAACCAGTAAAAAAAGGGAACAAAAGAGTCTTTTACTAATATGATTAATACATTGATTAGTTATTGATTTCTTGGGAAAACTCCTTACAATTAAATTCAATTATTATTATGTTAATCTCTAATAAAATATGACCAATAAAATAGGCAAATAAAAATTCCAATGTCCTCGTCTGCATAAAACACACTTCCTTAAGTCTTTATGAAATAATGTGCTTTGTTAAGAAGTCAACTGTTTTAGTAGGAAAAACTGCGTAGAGTATTTCTAGGTGTTTTTTGTTGTTTTGTTGTTTTGTTTTTTAATTTCATTTTGATCTATATAAGGCTGATCACTATAATTTTATCGACATTGACAGACAAATCTTGAAGAGTTAGAGCTTTGCCATTAACTCTATCAGAGTTGGGAGTCATTGCTAAATAACCAGTGCAAAAAGCATGAATTATTGTTATTGGGTTCTATATACATTGACTGGTAGTTGATTGTTATAATAAAAAAAAGATCAGAAGCACATGATGATGGCTGTTTTATACTATCTGGAATGTATATTGCTCTTACTGTCCAGATAAAGGTGAATTCTCATAATTTTAATGTTTATTTTACATATAATCAGGATGACTTGTCTCAGAAAAAAAATGATGTTTATAATGTAAAAAAATAGATTAATAAAATTATGTTGCTAATTTGAATGTAAATATTTTTTTTTACTCTAAATAAAGAACATGTTTTGTTAAGATTTTCCCAGCTTATGGATGATATATTATTTCTACAAAGAAGCACACTGTATATTTTAACTAAAAATTAATTATAAAATTAATTATAAGGAATGTATAGATATAAAATGTGCATACTGTCTTCATATGGATATGATACTTTCATATGATGCTTTCACACAATCTAACACAAAACTGCCCAAAGAAGAAGCTGGGACATCCATCACTTCTGCATTATACCTACAATTGAACTTACCATCAAGGGGGCAGGCTCCAGGATCCTGGCTAATAAAGTAGGATGGATCAAAGCTGAGTTCTGGGAAATGTCTACATCTATGGGAAAGATAGTGAGCGCACCCAAATAGCAACTGTTAAAGTCTCTCAAGACCTGGAAGGACAGATATCCGTGCCAAAAATATACCTTCATTCTGCTTCTGAATAGACACAAGAGATCTAACAAATTCTGTGAGTCATAAATGGTGTTCTGTTTGCAGTCATATTGTGAAATTAATGATCATTTTGTGAAATAAACATATATGCATTGTGATGCTGATATCTGAAAAAAAAAATACAAGGAGCACTTTAATTGTTTTTTGTTACAAAGTATGAATGATCATTCTAGAACTCACTTTTGCTTGGATTGATCTGGAATATATACTACCATTTTCTGATCTGACACAGTTCAAACATGACACCTTCCTTTTAATGGTATAATTCTTCGTACTAAAGAATCAAATCAGTATTAAACTCACAGTCTACGTTCTACAAACTATATTCAGAGACACCAAGATTATAACTGGAAAACTTTTACAGCTGCTCAAGCAGTGCTAGCTAAAGAACATCTCTATGCCACGTTTGCTAATGTTTTGAATCTTTTTAAACACAAGCTGTGTAAATGCAGTTGTTAAAATTAATGTGGCTATTTGAATATAAGTGCATGAATAGAAAAATATTTTAATGTGTACCATTAAGTGATACCTCTCACCTATCTCTATTGATAATATTCAAGTGCTCTGTGATAAACCAGTATTGGACCTAAGCCCAGAAAAAATCTCATTTCCATTTGGTAAGGAAGATTGTTTAAAATAACGTAAGTTTTTCCTCTCTGTTGCTTCAACTATGAGTTCTCTTGTCGAATACACCTGCAAAGCACTGACTAGTATGCTAATATGCAGTACTACCTTTTTTTTCTTTTTGTTTTTATTTCTAGAGAATTACAGTGGAAGACAGCTAAACCCAGATTTCTATTGTTAAACTTCTATGTAAACAATAACAAAGGGTAATCAAATAATTGTAAATGTATGGCAAGTCAATTGCGAAGGCTGGAATGAGAAGGCATAGTGTTCTGTGTCAGTGTGAATGAGCAGGGTTGAGGATCCTTGTAACAGTGCTCTCTGAGAACCTATTCAAAGTCACTGAGTGTATGCCAGAGGCAAGCTTTTAAATTTAATAACTGCAATCTCTTCCCTGTATGGCAAAATGCAAGCAACTTCCGTTGTAAATAAAAAAACTATGAGTATTTTTCTTTTTTTTTTCTTTTTTTTTTTTTTGTAAATATAGACCCTGATACGTTTACTTGTAATGGTTATCACAGTGAAAATGCAGCACAGACTGTTTGTCTTTAGTATTTGTCTGCCAATCATTTTTAAAACAGTTCCAATATTTGCAAATATTGAATATTTGTAAAATCTCCATGCTGATTATGCATGAATAGTTTGTTTTAATAACCGCCATATGTGGCTGAGCAATTAGAATGCTTACTCATTAGGGAAATCTAATTTAATATATTTTCAAAACTGCTTTGCTGAGTCAAAAACCATTTGTTTTTTACCTCTTTAGTTGGAAAATAATGGAGAATAAGCTGAGACTGATGCTTGATACTGCCTTATGGTTCTTGAACAATACGTGGGAATATTTAAATACTGTTATAATTGATTATTGATTACTGAAATCTTTTTAGTGCCAAATAATATGAGCTTTGAACACCAATAAGCAAAGTAATTTACTTGGAAATAATGTATATTTGTCACCGTTCAAATGATTATAATACTAATCTGTACTACTATGTGAGTTTAATTCCCAGCCCCCTCAAAACCCTACATAAAATTTAAATCTGTAATCTGTAAATATTTCTTTAAGTAGTAGAAGGAGGGAACCATCAGAGATTATACACAAAATTTTTGAAGCACAACTCTATTGCACAACTTTCACCTTAAACAATTGTATTAATGTTTTCAGTCTCCTTCAGACCATTCTTGTATTAATACCATTTTTTGGCATTGAAGAAATAATACAGATACAAAAATTCATGCAAACAAATGTTCAAGGGTGAGGCAAACGTGATTAAAAACTATCAACAGGAGAAAAATAATGCTCCCTTGGAAAACCAAAATTAAAAAAAAATCAGATTTCATAAAGTTCAAGAGTGTATATATATATGTGTGTAATATTTAAAATGAATGGTAAGGTCAGATGGGAAGAAGCTGATCTATCTCTATTCATGCTGACTTTTTACTGAGTAGCTCTTTACTATTTACTTTAATGCTCATCATGCTTTTCTAAATGACACATTCTCTTATGCTTACAAAATCCAGCAAAGATGCCAGGTATCTTAAAATGCATGCTAAGAGAATCAGCTGGCATTTTTCAGTCATTCAAGTCTACACTTGAAGAAATGTTGCAAGGTGAAAGCTTGTCTTCAAATTTTCTATCAGAGAAATAAGGAAGTCGGATAACTGTTACAATTAGATTGCAGTCACTAAACATTGAGGCACTTTTACCTGCACATCGCTGGAAATGATGTGAGAAGTCATACGTGAGGTCTAAGCAGTTCTCAAAAAGTTTTGAAATAGTCAGTACTGACTTTTTTCTATGTAGCATTTTATAATGATGGTTCCCAAGAATACAGTCTTTATTTTGAGAAGAGTGATTCACTACAAAGACCTCCAGTTCCTCTCTAGCTCACAGACCTGCTATGAAGGTGGTCAGAGGTTTTTGGCAACTTTAATATAAAATACTGTAAAGTAGTATGAGTATTGTTAGCTAATTGTCTTCTCAAGCACACAAAAAAAATCACATAAAGTATTATCATGTGATATGTGAAGTTGGTGGTTGTTCTCTCAAAATTCATCTCTTTTTTCCAGTCTAAAACGTATATGTGCAGTTGGCAAGGGGATACTCTGTGTTTCACAGTTGACTTTGCTCTGGGATTTACCTGTTTTGACAGTAAAACAAAGGTAAGAAAAAGAAAAGAAAACATAACTCAGCTTTATTTCAGTGTTCTTTAAGTTATCAGTAACCCTATCTTTTATACTGATGTGGAGTATTTCTTTCTCAAACATACTGTTCTCCACTGAGTCAGTCTGGGACTCGAAGAGGGTAATCTATTTGTGCCATAGCATGTAAAGTAGATACTGGATAAATATATATAAAAAAGTAATTTCCTTTTCAAGCAATAATAGGAAAAAAAGATTATGTGCAGTAGAGTGCTTGGTTTCTTAGTAACAGAGAAACGTCCAGATTTTGAAAAGATTATCAGTCATGAAAAATATTGAACTTTCACCTATTTGTTCACATTCTATTTGTTTTGAAGCTACAGATATAAAATAGAATGAATTATTCTTCCATCATAAGAAATTTAGGCTATATCAGAACAGCACAGAAAAAGCGCAAATGCATTCCAAAGTCAATCTATGTGATTAAATTCAATTTTCTTGCAAAACTGAATGGCTTTTAAAGGACTATAGGGAATGGTTTATGGCACATGACGACTTCCAAACCATATCTATAATTCTACTGTTTTAAATAAAATCTGTCATCATTTTTTTGTGAATTTTTAGATTTGTTTCCTGGTGAAAATGAGTTTGAATTTTAAGAAGTTTCTACCTTAGTACAGCTGTTTAGTATGAGATCTGTACTCCAAAATATGGTCTGCAACTACTAACTGAAATGATTTTACAATATATATTAAAGAAATTCATTTAGTCATTTTGATTTAAAAGAAAATACAATGCATTTTGAAACACTGATGCAGGATCTAGTTTTTGTATGTTGGCATTTTTTGTATTTTTGGCTCAATTACACAAATTTATTGAAATTTCAGTGCAGAGAAATAATAACCAGTATAGTTGTTATTTGGAAATTCAGACAACTTGTGCTGCATGTGCTATCCTATAAATAACATGAAAATTCAGAAAATATATTTGCATACTTTTCCATGCCTTTGGTGATAATACATTCTGAAATTGTACTCTGCATAGCACAATTTCCTCATAGCCACAAATTAAGTATAGACAGCAAAAGTCTAATTAATTTAGACTGTATATAATGTTTATTTTACATCTGAAGATTGATTTAGTGTAATCCTCCTTGAGAACTGTGAACTTCTCTGTTGAAATTCATTTTCACAAGACCAGAAAATTATTCATAATTAAAATCTCATAGTATGTAGAAATTCTACTAGTAGAACCAAAGTATTACCTATAGAAAGAGTAGGGCCTTAACCCAGCATGCCTACCATCATTATAGTTGATGGTGTGGAGGCTTCAGTCAAATTTTGCTTTTGTAGTATCATAAAATGGCTTGGTCGGAAGGGACTTTAAAGACCACCTAGTACTAACTCCCTGCTGTGGGCAGGGTTGCCACCCAGGGCTGCCCAGGGCCCCATCCAACATGGCCTTGAACACCTCTGGGGACATAGCATCCATAGCTTCTCGGCAAACTGTTCCAGTGCTTCACCACCTATGAGCAAAAAAATGCCTCCTAATTTCTAACTTATATCTCCCCTCTTTTAATTTAAAGACATTCACCCTATCCTATCACTTTCAGACCATGTAAAAAGTCAGTCCCCTCCTGCTTGTAAGCTCCCTTCAAGAACTGGAAGGTCTCCCTGGAGCCTTCTCCTCTCCAAGCAAAACAAGCCCAGCTCCCTCGACCTTTCTTCACCAGTGCTCCAGCCCTCAGAAATTCTTCATGACCCTCCTATGGACACATTATAATTGCTCTGCTTCCTTCTTGTACTGGGGGCCCCAAGCCTATACACGGTACTCCAGATGGGGCAGAGCAACTGAGGATAATCCCTTCCCTCTCTCTGCTGACATCCCCTCTTTTGATGCAGCCCAGGATACTGTTAGCCTTCCAGACTACAAGTGCACACTATTGTCTTACGTTAAGCTCTGCATTCACCAGGATCCCCAAGACCTTCCCTGCCGGGCTGCTTTCAATGCGTTCTTCTCCTAGTCTGTAGACATATCTGAGATTGTCTTGATCCAAGTGCAACTTAGCCTTGTGGAACCTTATGTGGTTCAGGTGAGCCTACTTCTCAGGCTTGTCCAGTTCCCTCTGGATGGCGCCCTTTCCGGACCAGTCACGGGGGTCCAATATCTCTCTGGCAACCCTCTGCCTGTGACCATTCAACCAACTCCTTATGTACTGAATAGTCTACTTTCAAATCCATGTATCTCCAATTTAGAGATAAGAATGTGATGTGGAACCACATTAAAAGACTTGCAGAAGTCCAGGTAGATGATCTTCTTCTATTTTCTGAAGCCATCACTCCATCGTAGGCCACCAGATTTGTCAGGCATGATCTTCCCTTAGTGAAGCAATGCTTGTCACAATCACCTCTTCATCCCTCATGTGCCTCAACATAGCTTCCACAAGGATCTTCTTCATGATCTTCCCAGGAACAGACATGAGGCTCACCAGCCTGTACTTTCCCATATCTACATCAGCCATTTCCTTCGGGACCCTTGGATGTGTGTCACTGAGCCCCATAGACTTGCTGCTTACCTAAAAGGAATAAAGAATAATATTAGACATATTAATTCTATTGTTAAGCTGGAAAAATTCTGGAGAGCTCATATGCATTTACTGTTTTTCTCTGTGAGAGATGGATATGTTCTTTGTGTCTCCAAGCATGTGTGAAGCAATAATGAGCAGCTTCTACACTTACTTCTTACTGCCCATTAATGTCAGCTGAAGTTGATGGTGTTGCCCTACAATCTTAGGTTTTTTAGATTATTTCTTTCCAACACTGAATAAGTTTGAACTACCAAAGTAATTAAGTTTTCATTAAGCAGCAATTTTGCTGGAAAAAAATATATATATGTATATATATTTTTTCTAGACAATGAATTTCAAATTAAGGTGAACTTTTGATGAAAAAAAAAAATAAATCCTTTTACAGCACAGCAGGTGCTCATACTGGCTTATTAAAATGCAGGGCAGTCTCCTGGTCTGACCTACAACTCTGAGCCTGGATCACACATTTTGGGCAATCAGCTCACTTACTTATTAAAAATGTTCTTTATTGCAGTTTGTAAAGAGATTGAAAGAGAGCCTTCTACATTACAAATGACAAAATAAAAAGGGCAAGAACTTTTCCTTAGGAGTTTATGCATCTTTTAGAAAACTCTTCATTAGAACATTTTTGGGGGATTGCCAAACATATTTGAAATAATTACTTCATTTCTTATATGTTCTGTTCTGAGGCTGTCATGGGACTAACACATTCAGATTTGGGGCACATCACAGAGACACCCTCGCAGTGCAGCTGCTTTGTATCTGATCACAGTTTTTTTCTATCAGTTAGCTTACTTGATTCAGCCCTTCCACTGTGCCTGCAGCTATCCAAGATAAAGAGATCCCAAAGTATACATATTCTTCTGCCTTCCAAAGCCATTTCTTTTTCCCCTCTGTGTCAACTATGGACTTCAGCAATGCCTGTTATTGCTAAATTGTTCTTGTTTTGTCCTCCCCTTAGAAGTTATAGTATACAGTGAGCATTCATCTTTATTATTTAGATATACACCTGTTTAAGATTTGAATGCCATTCAGACAGTGAAATTTGTTTATTAATGTAAAACATAAACAACTTCACAGTGCTGTAGTAAGGGGCAGTGATGTTCCTGTCTGCAGGGAACCAGAGGATGAAGTCAAGAGATTTCATAAAAATTTCATGCCTTGTTTTTTTGTATAAACAAGTGTACAAATAATTATTTTATTTATAGGGCATTTTCTCTCAAACTAACAGCATGATTCTAAAGATCATGAAGAAAATCATTGGAATCCATGAGGCAGCTGTCGTCATTTTAGGTAGCGATTATCATGTTTACGAGTTGTTCTTGATTCAAGTTGCCCATATCCACTACAAAAGCAAAACTGTTGTCTAATGAGACATAAAAAATCTTTATTTTCTCTTTCTTATCCTAATCATCTCTCAGTCTGGTATTTTTTATTATTTACCATTGTGGTAGCACCAAGATTAATCACAGTGAGGATATGTCAAGTTAAATGTAAATTTTTTATTATCACCATTGATATTAAGGTTTCTATTATAATAATTGGCAATGTTATGAAGAAGTAACGAAGTACTAATGAGTAAGGCAATAGTGCCCTTGAATTTACTAATTATGTGGCAGGACTACCCCATGTATGGAGTAATTCTAAACTCACCAGAATGTCTCTGCTCTCAGGTAGTGAAAATATCTGTTTAAAGTCATATAGAAAGAAATGATTTTTCTGTAATGACATCTGACTCACAAAGCAGCTAAACCACTCCAAATCCAATGCTATCTAGAGAATATTGAAAAAATTCACAGATAAAAAGTGAGAAAATTTGCAAGTGAAGATATCACTGGCCTACATGAAGAAAGTGTTTTACAGTAAGGTATACTAAAAAATGGAACAAAGCCAATTTTTTCTGACTGTGTGATTTTGAAATGGCCTTCAAAGCATTTAAATTGAGTTTCATCAGCAGTGTCCAGAGACTGAATCATGTTTTGCCATGTAAATAAAATTTTCACTAACATTACAGATATTAAGAAAACATTAGTGGAAGGTTTGTATGCAATCTGTTAACTGTTTTTTGTAATTATACATTTGTAGATATCAATAGAAAACATTCAAATGCAGAAGATGATACTGGTTTCAAAAGCATGGTTTTCTAGCATTTTCTTTTGAAAAATATCCCCATAACAATTAAAAATTTCTGTCAATCTGTAATTTGCCAGCAATAGTAAGTGCTGCAAAAGCTTGCAAGAATTCTAGAGTTCCTGTATAGTTTAGAAACAACTGTGTAATTTAGAACATATCTTTTATAATTTGCAAGACCAAGATTTTTTTTAATATATAAATATAGCATATTTATAGCATATTTAGCATATTTATCTTTGGATTTCAAACCACTTCAAAAATGCTTTTTGACAAAGGTATATTGAGCATCCCAATGTCTGTGTAAGACACTTACCTACATTGTGCAGATGAGCCAGATGAAAGATGACAGATCAAGATATGGTGGGAAATTGTGTTTATAATGAAACTGATACAAATATCCTAATGAATACTTCTAGAAATAAATCTTTTGTAATGGATTTTGAAATTATATCACATAGGCAATGGAATCATTCAAATTTCAGAGAAGTTCCTTTTTTTTTTAATTAGTGTGTATTGATATCACCTTTTATTCTCAGACATGATGCAAAGCTGTGAATTTTGTTTGCTCTGCGGCCAGCTTGTATTTACTGACCCAATGCTTTAGCTTAATACATAACCATTAATCATTTATCTGTAGTTGTAGGTAACTGTGTAACAAGTCCTTAATCAAATTTCTTTCTCTTCAGAACGTTCTGTGGAGGTTTAAATTCTCTCAGCTGAAAGGCTCTTCAGATGATGGGAAAACAAAAGTAAAGCTGCTTTTTCAGAATCCAGACACCAAACAAATAGAAACAAAGGTAAGTGACATAATCTTTCTCAGCTTAGTGAAAAATGAAATGGAACAATCAATTCCATTTACTGCTGTGCTTGCATTTAGTGAACTGCAAATCATAGTTTATATATTTTTATCCTGCTCTGTAGAAACACCACAATGAAAAGAATTGAGGTATTTTATTTATTACACTATTTGTACAAATGTGTTACTGAGCTGTGTTTTGATGGCATAATAATATAATATATAAAAACTTTTTAAAGAGGATGAAGCAAAAAAATATATCTGTTTAACTACTAAATACAAATTGCAGACTTACAACTTCAAGCAAATACAAGCTTAAGATTTACAGATAAAATAAAGTGCTGTGTAATATTTATTAGCTTAATAAAAAAGAAATAATCTCACAAGAGGACAAGTAATTCTTGAAACATTCTAGTGCATTCAGTACTGCGACTCAAGAGTTCTCAGTGCTTTGCAAGATCTGGCATTAAGCTGTGGCAACATGCTTTCTCTACTGAGGATGAGATACTGATGTATTTTATCTTCTAGAGATTATCAGATCTAGTTATGAAGCTTAGAATTCAGATTCCCAACTGAAGTTCATCAGTTTCTAATTCAGGATTGTACTTTGAATCATCATCTGGAGATACAACTGTAATGCCACAATCTGGCCTCAGATTCTCTCTGTGAACCTGGGCTTCTTACAGTTGTACACATAACTGAAGGGGTAGGATGAAAGTTGGAGAAATGAATTACCAAGGCAGTGATCGCTGATGAATAAAAGTGGTGAATAATTTAAAAAAACATAAATAAATGAATTGAGAATTATTCTGTCATGCAGTTCTGAAAGGAATGAGGATAACTTTGATGTGATATAACAAAGAAGTGAAGCTAAGAGTGAGTTCAGCTTCCAACTGAGATTTGGTAGACAAAACTCAATGAAAACAAAAAGCACATATAAATGTATTTGAAAATTCTCACTTTTACGCAGAGTTACACAGGTTAAAGTGACTTATAAAGTGAAAATTTGCTTCAGTGACTGTATTACAAAGGTAGCATAGATAATACCTTTAATTATTCTTTAAAATTTAAAAAAAAAAAAAAAAAAAAAAAAAACTATAAGGAAATAATCTCTAAACTTCCTTGTTCATCGTAAAGCAGCAACAAATATCATGTATTTCTTTGTACATCTATATTTATAAATTATTCAATTTTTCACCAGCAAACTGAACCTCAGTTTTGTGTTGGCACTGCAGTAGCAAATACAATAACATCATAAAAGATACAACACTATAATAATATGACTATAGTAGCAGGTCATTTCCACTTCATTTCTGATGGTTCTCCTTGAAGACGTAAAGGAACTGCTATCATCACTATATACGTGACCATCTGTTGGATAGAATTTAAGTAACTTGGAATTTAAGTCACCAAATAATAAAGTTTCATTTCCATTACATGTGAAATAAAGCTTGATACAGACATATAGAACATTCTACTGTATGTTGCTTGTCTCTTATCCATTCCAACTGTTATGCATGTAACTTAAGAACTCTGCATATTTGTCTGACTACATACAGTACTCTTTCTTCACTTCCTTCACACTTACTAACTTTTGCAATTAGACTGCAGTACAGTTTTGCTGCAAATGCTATGCTGTTTAAACAGGAGAATTGCAGGAGAGTGATTGTGGACAGATCAGCAAGTGTGTTTCTTTCTTTAGATTTACTATTTTCACCTGAGAGAAAATTTATTCCATATTAGTACTGCTGAGAGATAAAGGAAATTAAATAGTGCAAACAGAGCTCTCTATTTACAGCAACATTGATCTCTAATATCAAACAGCCATGATCTAGCACTCACACACTTCTGTATTTTATTAACATGGGTTTTTTGTTGCTGAAATCTGGCAATTTACTACTGAATATCTTGAGAGCTTGAAAAACATTTGCAAGATGATGATAGACATGAGTTAAGACTTTGACTGGATGACAGTGTTGGGCAGTCTGCTGCTGGAATTTAGTTTACGTGTGCTGGAAGGGGTGACTTTAGTTGGCTGCATTTAGACAAACATCTCCATAAAACTTTTCAGATGTTTTTTGTCTGCCAGTGGAACATTTGAAAGTGTTCCAGATTTGATGGTAGACAGTGGCATTTGGAATCACTGAAACTGGCAGAGAAAATCAATTTGATTCATTCTTATCCCTGTAGAACACTATTAAAAGACTTAAGGACAATACATAGAGTTGTAATTCATCTGGCATTTCATTTTGGCATAATGGATCTAGTTCTTATATTGGTAAGAGCACCATTTTATCTTATCTTTTGTTTGTGTAAATGACATTTGCAAAAAGGAGACCAAATAAAACCTTACAGTTGAACAAGCCTTCACACTCGTTTGTGTTTACCAGGGGAAGGTCATGCTTGACCAATCTGGTGGCCTTCTATGATGGAGTGATGACACTGGTGGACAAGGGAAAGGTGACCGATGTCATTTACCTGGACTTGAGCAAGGCCTTTGACATGGTCTCCCACCACATCCTTATCTCCAAATTGGAGGGATGTGGATTTGATGGGTGGACCACTCAATGGATAAGAAATTGGTTGAAAGGCCGCAGACAGAGGGTGGTGATTAATGGCTCTATGTCCAGGTGGAGGCCTGTAACGAGCGACGTCCCCCAGGGGTCTGTCTTGGATCCGGTGCTGTTTTACATCTTTATCAATGACATCAGTGATGGAATCGAGTGCACCCTCAGCAAGTTTGCTGACAACACCAAGCTGAGTGGTGCAGTTGACACTGTAGAAGGAAGGGATGCCATTCAGAGGGACCTCAACAGGCTGGAAAGGTGGGCCCGGGTGAACCTAATGAGGTTTGCACGGCAAAGTGCAAAGTTTTGTACTTGGGCCAGAGGAATCACAGGCATTTATACAGACTGGAAGGAACAGTCCTTGAGAGCAACCCTGCAGAGAAGGACCTGGGGGTCCTGATGGATGAAAAGCTTAACATGAGCCAGCAGTGTACTTTTGCAGCTCAGAAAGCAAATGATATCCTGGGCTCCATCAAAAGAGGGGTGGCCAGCAGGGACAGGGAGATGATTGTCCCCCTCTACTCTGCTCTTGTGAGACCCCATCTGGAATATTGCATCCAGGTCTGGAGCCCCCAGTACAAGAATGACAGAGAGCTGTTAGAGAGGGTCCAGAGGAGAGGCATGAAGATCATCAGGGGGCTGGAGCACCTTGCCTATGAAGACAGGCTGAGGGAGCTGGGCTTGTTCAGCCTGGAGAAAAGAGGGCTGTGAAGTGACCTAATTGCAACTTTCAGTACCTAAAGGGAGCCTACAAACAGGAGGAGAATCAACTCTTTGAAAGTGTAAATAACAGCAGGACAAGGGGAAATGGTTTTAAGTTGAGGGAGGGAAGATTGAGGATGGATGTCAGGGGGAAGTTCTTTAAAGAGAATGGTGAGGTGCTGGAACAGGCTGCCCAGAGAGGTTGTGGATGCCCCATCCCTGGAGGTGTTCAAAGCCAGCTTGGATGGGGCCCTGGGCAGCCTGGTCTAGTATGAAATGGAGGTTTGTGGCCCTGCATGTGGCAGGGGGTTGGAGATTCATGATCCTTCAGGTCCCTTCCAACCCTGGCCATACTGTGTGATTCTGTGTGTTTTTATAACAGTCTTAACAAGCTGGGATGTATTAGTACATTTGTTCTTTTCAACCATGATATGATAATCAAGCCCTGGTATACTTGTTAAAATTTAGAACTGAAGTTAGAATTACCTGTTCTGTTTTCACTTCCACACAACCAGAGCTAAAACCTAGATGCCGTTATCAGTGTTGTTTTGTTGGTTTGTTTGTTTTTCCCAAAAAGTATGATAAGTATTTCAGTCAGAAGGAATGAAGTTATATGCTGAAGAATACAGTAGTTGCACTCTTGTCAACCATTAATAAACATGGATACTCACGAATGTTCTTTAAGAAGTCAAGAAATACACGGGGTACAATAAGAGTCAGTACCTACATTATCTGCCTCTTACGTTATACAGGCTCATGTCTTGCTCAAATAGTGATTCAGTAGCTCTCAGAAATAATCAATAAAACTAAGTGTATGTGTGGTACCAATGCAACAGCCCTGTTAAGGTCTTTATGATATATAATACATCCATTTGTTACAAGTGGATGGGCAAAACAAAACCATATACATTTTTTAATCTGTCTCTGCACACATAGCGATCCAGATCAGTACACTGTGCACATATTTAATATTCTCAGTATCTTGCAGTTTTGCAGACTTGTCTTCACACAGGTTTAATGCAATCTTTCATTTTCTTTCTTGCTGCCCTCCTTTTAGTGTCTTTGTTGTATTTTACTTATTAGGATGCGTATAATTAACTAAAATAGTCTTGGTTATTGAAATATTAGATGTGTAAAATTTTTTCTAAATACTTAGAAACGGGCAATCTTGATTAAGGTAAGAACAGTAATCACAGAGGAATCAAGCAAGCAGAACAGTAGAGTTAGGTTATACAGGGCACATGAAATGTTTAGTTAGTTGTCTGCCTGGCTGAGTATGAGCAGAAATATATTATTTTAAAAAATAAAAACAAATTAAAAAAAAAAGTATCAATTCATTTATTTGAAATAATTTTAATTGGTGTTCTTTCATAGAAATAAGTTGATATTTCCTATTCTAAGTGTTGTCTCCAGTCAAAACAGTTTTGTCAGTAATGTGTATATTTCAACTATGTATAAATTATGTAATATAGAAATAAGAGCATATCATTAGTATCCAAAAGATGAATCACAGCGGATTAGACATCTCTGAAGTACACAGGAGGGAAAGCTCCAGCTTGGAAAAGGGAAAACACAGGAGGAAAAGCTCCTCTTGGAAAGAGTCCAGCGGAGGGCCACAAAGATGGTGAAGGGCCTGGAGCATCTCTCCTATGAGGAAAGGCTGAGTGAACTGGGTCTGTTCAGCCTTGAGAAAAGAAGACTGAGAGGGGACCTGATCCAGGTCTATAAGTATCTACGGTGTGGGGGGCAGAGTGGCAAGGCCGGACTGTTTTCAGCAGTGTGTGGAGACAGGACAAGGGGAAACGGCCAGAAACTGCAGCATAGGAAGTTCCACACAAATGTGCACAAGAACTTCTTTACGGTGAGGTGACGGAGCACTGGAACAGGCTGCCCAGGGAGGTGGTGGAGTCTCCTTCTCTGGAGATGTTCAAGACCTGCCTGGATGCCTACCTGTGCGACCTGCTGTAGGGAACCTGCTTTGGCAGGGGGGTTGGACTCGATGATCTCTGGAGGTCCCTTCCAACCCCTACAATTCTGTGATTCTGTGATTCTTGTAGGATGTATTCTAAACTCATAGAAACAGTGAGAACTCTGCAGTCGGAGCATTGAAAAGGGTGAACTCCTAGTGATGAGACATCTCTGTATTTGCTCTTTTCTTATCCAAAAACTCTAGCAAAATAGTATTGCTGGAACACCCTGAAGTTCTTGCCTACTATATGTGTTAGGTATCTCTGATCACTTATCTTGATAAATGTGTGCATCTTGGAAATGTATATACCTGCAATATGGGAATGAAATGCTTTATGAAGGGCTCTAGTCTCTGAGCACCCTTGGTTGCAGTTGGTCAAAGTGTCAAATGTTAGAATGAGTAGTCAGAACCTGAGGTTAAATTGTTCAATAATTTCATTTTATTTTGAAGCAAACCTAAGATTAAAGTGAGTACTGCCACATTTTATAATTTGTTGCTTTTAAAGATTGCAATTCAGGAGATTTCAACCTATATTTAAATCTTTAAAACCTTTGTCGTGTAAACCTTTTTGGGACTTATGTACATTGTTTTAGTTTTATAAACCCTAAACAATGAGAGTTAAATAGTGCAACTACTTCTTAATGAAAGTGTTTATATTAATTTTATTTTGATTTTACACTAGATAATATACCTACTGCCAATAAAATACTTATTTACTTATGTTCATATATATCAATCAAAATGGAAAAAAAACACTTCTTTACTCCCCCAAAAAACAAAATGAAGATTACATGTGCTTAAGTTCTTCAAAGGATTTTAATGAAAATTTACACTTCATTTTTCTTCCACAAGATCTAATTTTGAATACAAGGCCCAAATGAATACTTCAGAAACTGAATGCCAATTACTGGTTACCTAAATGCCTGGTTTGATATAATTTCTCAAGAGATTTTTCTTCTTTTAGGGTAATTATTTCTTGAGCTGTTGACTTGGAAGTACACAAAAGCAGAAGGTTGAGAGTAACATCCCTTAATGTTATTTTTTTTCCTCCTTATTTAACTAGATACGAATGATAATAAAATATAGCACATTCTGTCCATCAGTTATATTGGCTCACACATGTTATGAAGTGAAGCATTTAAAGGAACAGGAGTTTACAAACTTTTTTGCAGTGACATATATGATGGACATGTTTCAGAATACAACATTGTCACAGAGTTGACCAGATCAATCTATGTCTGTGACAGGGGGGACAGGCCTCTGCCCTCCCCCCCCAACCCAGTCGCACAAAAAATGGGAAGGAAGGAAGGAAGGAAAAGAGCAGCGGCAACAATCTATGGAGGAAAACTTATTTTACTATAATATTGGAATACAAGATAACACAATATATACAATTTAATTGAAATTGAGATTAATAAATCAGACAAGATGAGAGAGAGAGTTCCCAGGACCGATTCAAACCTGAAAACAACCAAAAACAAAACAAAACAAAACAAAAACAAAAAAACCAAACCAAAACAAACAAACAAAAAAAAAACATAGAACCATGACAAACATTTTGGTAAACTTGTGCTGGCTGTCTAGAGACTGGAAGTAGCATGAAGTGCTATAGCAGTTTGCATTCCACTTCACATGCATGGAATGACATATTCAGAAAGCTCAGCACTGTAGTAAAAATTATCAAATTATTTATCAGATGATGAATTACCCAAGACGTGTTATATGCATATAAATATCTCTGCTTACATATTCTTTGCAGGACTTAGGGTCTGAAAGCATTGTTCTCTTGTTCTGTGTGCTCACTATAATCACTATGAGGAAGACAGTTTGCTGCCAAAGCTTCCTCTGTCTGAAAGTTACAATGTGTGAGGACTTTCTGAGAGCTTCCTTGGATGTGTAGTAGAAAACAAAGGTACTTGTAAAACTACTTAACATGCTAGAAAGAGCATATCCTGGGAGCATGTTGAATATGATCCCATTACGCTTTTTGTACATTAATATTGCTTATTGTCATCTTATGCTGGAGAAAGTAGATGGTAGCAGAAGTTAAATTTGTCTGAGAATAATAAATTTGCTTATTGGAAAATAAAATACCTGAGACAATAAGCTGTATATGCCTGAGGTTTTAAAGAAATCATGCACAAGTGTTGGAAAAAATCCTCATAGTCTCCTCTTCATCACGAACTGATGCCCTCAATGCATAGACATTAATATTTATTGCAGAGGGAGGCTGTGATTGTTTCGCTTCTGTGGATCATCACTGGTGACAGGTGACAGGATGAGGGGAAATGGCCTTAAGTTGCATCAGGGGATGTTTAGGTTGGATGTCAGGAAAAACTTCTTTACAGAAAGGGTTGTTAAGCACTGGAATAGGCTCCTCAGCGAGGTGGTTGAGTCACCATCCCTGGATGTGTTCAAAAATCGTTTGGATGTGGTGCTCAGGAACATGATTTAGCAGAGGGTGGTTGAGTTCAGGTAGTATGGTCAGGTTGTGGTTGGACTTCATGATCTTTAAGGTCTTTTCCAACCTGAGCAATTCTGTGATTCTGTTATTCTCCAACACTGAAAGTCTGATACCACCTTGTCCTTCTTTTGCCTTTTTATTTTCCACGTCTCCAATCACAATCCCACTAGAATTCCTAACTATTTTCAGAATGAAGCATTGGAAAGCCAAATATTGACTTGGTTTTATTACTGCAGTATGTGAGGTACAGTAAGTATGTAAAATTTGCATTGCCCTATTTGCAGTCTCATCAATATAGAAAAATCAACAATGAACCTCTGGGTTTGACCATTTTAATCAAATATATATGTATTAAAATAATTCAAAATCTCCAATGAGTTCATTTCATTCAGACTGTTGGCGAAGTATTTATACTGTAAAAATTCTTGTGAGAATTAGTTTCAGAGGGAAATTGGATGGAAATACTGTGACCGGTATCTCACCTATTAGTTGTGTCTACTTAACGAATCCATATTGATTTTATTTCTACTGAGCCTGATACAACTTTTTTTTTCAAAACAAAGCATTGTACAGGAACTTACCAAGCAGAAGCGAAGCAAAGAAATATGGCTGAACTAATTCACACATTTTCCGTGAACGTTGTTATGGCTCATGAATCTCACCTAATGCTTACAGGTTGCTTTTCAGTAATGAAATCACAGTATTAATTATTGTGTATCAGCACCTAGGTTAGTCATTATGTGCCTGAGATGTATGCAGTGACCTCTCATTCTGGTAATACTTACTGACACAGAAAACAGTATGATTACTATCACATAGCAGAGAGATATAAAATATTTATTAAATGTAATGCAAATATCTGTCACTGTAGTTGTTGCTTACTGCACAGTATGTTCATATACCAAGCTGATTGCAAGGATACCTGTCTTGTTATCTTCAGCTTCTGAAGGAATCAACCTATTTCAAACTAAAAAGCCAGTAAAATAAGGCTGTTGAAAAGGAAAATAAAATAAAATAACAACAACAACAAAACCCACAAAAGTATGTGTTAAAGGTACATATATCTGGAAAGAGCTTCATCACAAGCGAATTGGAAGTGGGATAATAAGAGATATTGGAAAAATAAAATCTGTGATGGAAAAATAAATCTCTAACGACAAAAATCTTTCAGTGAACACTATGCATCTGGATAAAATGGAAAACAGAATTTCTGATTACAATTAAGCATTCATTAGAAGTAATACCATTCCTACCTAGTAAATACAGATTTCAACAGAAAAGCGTGTGAAAATTAGCTTTTCCTGAACAGGAATAAAGACCAAATATTCTGAGGCAATTTTTGTTTAGAAAATACCATAAAGTACTGTGATATGAAAAGCAGAAGTGGTTAAATTTTCATTTTAAAATAAACAGGATATTTCCTGAAATGCTGTTGTATAACCAATACATTCAATAAATGTCCTGTTGAAACCTTCTCCTCAAACAGAAAACCATACAAAATGTCTGGTTGCAGAGTCTGTAAATATTACTATTGTGTAAATTGAATATTCTTTTTATTCTGTGTTTTTTGTCATTGCGTCAGAATATCACTTCATTTTTCTCTGGGTAGACTGGGAAACAGAAATATCATTTATGAAATACTTAATAATACAATCAAAGAAATTTGAGAACTAATTAGGAGTAATTCTGCCTTTCTTGCTGAATTAGGGCGCGTGAATTTCAAACACCCATATTTATATGTGCAAACTGTGGTGTGACTTTATCTTTGCTTCCATTTGCCTCTGGCCTCACAGTTTGCTTCTTTTACTGTCCTTTGAGGCTGCCAAACTCTGTGTCCTCCTCACCCATCCCCTGAATGGGACCTGAAACCACATCTTTAAATTCAAATATTTTGAAAGATGTGGTGATGTCTGAACATTTTTGTGAGTTGAATATTTTGATTGTCTAAACTGAGGGAATTGTAAACAGTAAAGCAACAAAGGATGAAATCTAAACTGACATACAGCAATGCCTGTGAATGAGCTATGTATAGACATCTTTAATTCTTAGCACATTTAAATTTACAGTTCCTTATAAATATTAAACATTATATCAAATGTTTATTAACCTGAATTTGAATTTCTTCTTTTTTTTTTTTTTTCTCTTGCTTTCTCTTTCAGGAACTTGAATTTCAGGATCTGACAGCAGTTTTACATTGTATTCACTCCTTTATAGCTGCAAAAGTGGCATCTGTGGATCCAGTATTCATAGACAGCCAGAGTATTGCGAGAAAATATATGTACAGTAACTGATATGTGACTATGGCAAATAAATTATTTTCTTAAAGAAAGTAGTTATTTCATGCACAATATTGCAACTTTGTGATTTTCTAAGTCTATGGTTGTGTTATCTGTAATGCTAACAGTTTTCACACTTTGTTTAACATTTTGAATCTATGAGTTAACAAATATTAAACTGAATCAGTTTGTTGTCTGCACTAATCTAATACTCTGAGCAGATATTCATTCAGTAACATTTGTGGTGTCATTTTGATTTCTGTTCTTATGGTCATGCATATCTACCCGTGTATTAGATAAAAACACAAATTAACATTTGAAAATGGGCGTCCAAAAATTAGGATTTTTAAGTGTATTTTGAAAATTGCTGTGCACAATTTCTACAGTCCTCACTGAAAAGAACTGATTATTGTAGAAAACTACAATAGGAAATGGACTTTCATCTTGCTTTGATGGGTTTGAAAATTTACAGTTCCTTGTTCCAGTATTTTTGAGGCCAGAGAGTTAGATCTGGCATAACACAAAGTAATCTGTCTCAGACTGAGGAAAAGATTGAAGCCCATAGTTGATTCTGGCCTTATTACGTAGCCTGAGTGTATGCAGAACGTATTGCTACATATGTATTTAAATACCTTGCCAGATCAACTGAAGAGCTTTGTTCTAAGCTGAGGAGCCTAACTGTAGGCACTGAGTTGTAGAAAACTTGCCATAGGATTTTCTTATCTGTTAATAAAGCTTCCATGAATCATTCATAGATATCACTCATATATTCCGTTAACAGTAACCTCCAGTGTGATGCTCTGTAACTTCGTTGTTTGACAGAGGATGCTCTCAATGGAGTGAACATAAAGAATTTTCTGGCCCATCCACCTCCTTTTTTTTTTTTTTTTCCCCACACCTCTAGCCCTGTCTTACATATATGCTTAAACACAAGTGAAAAGAGGATATGGGTCTATTTTTTGACTTGTTCTTTAAATTTCTTCTGAAATCACTTTCTTATTTGCACAGATAATGCTTCCTGTTACTAAAAAACTGTTGAAGGAAGACATTTTAATCTTAGGGGGAAGTAATAACAAGTATTCCAGGCTTCTGTGATAAAAATCTCAGTTGTTTTCAACTGTAGTTTTGAGGCAACATCATGCAATATTATGATTTTTTTTGAGAAATGTAAGAAAAAAATATTAAAAATCAGGCAATGTACAAAATGCATATACATCAATGTAATCAAACGTTCTAAATTATGTCTAAAAAGTGTCCTAGAATAAAAGCCTAAAATCAATGTATGCTAAGGAAAGTAGGTAGGTGCCTTTAAAAGCTCTTAGGTGAGGAGTCTTTTTACCTAACTTCGATGTCTGAATTTAATTAGAAACGTTCCACCTCTGTCTTAAGGCAGGTAACTGTCTTGAAAGACAGCAGTGGAGCCTTGGGCACTTAATTCTAAAGAATGCTTATCTGCCTATCTAAAGCATAGGCACAATTAAAGTGCTTATAGTTGGTGATCTGATCCTACCATAAAGATTGCCTAATGCAAAGTGGTATCTTGAGAGAAATTATTTTAAATGTTAGGGATGCTGTTTGCAATTCCATTGTTGTTTACAGACCTGATGTTTGCAAGGAGGGGTAATAGGACAGCCAACTCCCTTGAAAACATTTTTTTAGAAAAGCTGAGCAATATTTTTATTAATTGTAAATAAATTTTTATTATATTAAAAAATTTTAATTTAATTTTCAGTTTTGCTTTTAAATTTCAGCTTTTTATTTTTACTGAGATTTTAACATTGACAAATGGTAGCATTAGAAACTGAAAGGCTTTCTCATAGTCAATTCTCAATTATTAGCGTGAAAAAATTATAGATTACGAAGTGACTATAGATTGAAGCACGATGGAAATTTTGCTCTGTTTTGTTTTTATTCTCTTATGTACGAAGTTCAGCACTAGCTCGGCACTAGTGTAACTTGAGTGGAAAAATGTACTACTTACCACTGGATTAAGACTATGATCAGGCATCTAGACAATGTTACCATAGAATCATAGAATCACTAGGGTTGGAAAAGACCTAAAAGATCACCCAGTCCAACCGTTCACCTATTCCCAATAGCTCCCACTAAACCATGTCTCTCAGCACAACATCCAGCCTTTCCTTGAACACCCCCAGGGTTGGTGACTCCACCACCTCCCTGGGCATCCATTCCAGTCCCTGACCACCCTTTCTGAAAAGTAATACTTCCTAATGTCCAGCTTGAATCTGTTATGTTTTAAGTGTAATGAAAAGCACAGCTTATCTTTCCAAATATATTTCCACTTGCAGATGTGATATTGAGTGAATGTCTAGTGCCATGAATTTAAATCAGAGAGAGGTATATCACTGCCATATTAACTAACAGTCACTACAGCATAGACTAGGGCACTGGACTTGAACAATGCTATTGATTTATTAATCCAGTTCCTGGCATTCTTTGATCAAAGTTAATTAAAATCTGCAGAAAAATTCCTGTGCACAGTTATGAATTGAGTGAGCTCAGGTCTGTTCCCAATGAGTGGTTTTGTTTTGCTACCCAGTTTAAAACATCAGAGAGTTTAGTAGATATGTGTGTAGACCATGCCAGATGGACTTGGGGGTAGAAAGTAAGCCCTGACAATTTTAGTTTTAAATTTAGATGCTGCTAAAATTAAGCATGGAATTACAATATGGTGGCTGTGCTGAACCAGCCATTACTCAAATTCTGGAAATCCGACTTAATTCTTTTTTCTCTAAGATCTTAAGAATCAGTAAGTGTTTCAGAGTAATTGCCACTCTTGTGCCAGTAGTCCTGAAACTTATTACAATTATTATATGATTATCTGTGGGGGATAGAGAGAGGATAAACTCTAGTAGACATTGCAATCCTAAATCTACAACATAAATGTTTTCTATCTGAACTACATTAATTCTGATATAACTTCTAAAAAGGAATGCCTCTTCAGCAAAATGTGTAGGCCAATCTTTGTTGTACAAGTACTATTTATAAATGGCTGAATTTCTTTCTAAGGAGATTACCATAAATGCTTCTACTGTCCATATTTTGTAGCACCTCCCCACTTCCCTGAACATCATAGTGAAGGGAGTGTCACTGCAATATATTTTTTCTGCTTTTTTTGAACAAGTTGATCTAAGACAGTGATGTTTGCACACCTGTTAAAGCTTCTCAGCACATAGTGTTGCAGTGCCAAGGAGTTGGCATCTGTTCCCTTGAAAGAGTACAGAAATGCTCCTGCATGCAGAGCTCTGCCTTAGAAGCCTCCATCAGGGGAAGAGCCATTTCTACCTTTCCATGAAAGGAGACTGAGTGCGAGCTCTGAGTTGCCTCCACAAGCTGCCTGTGCCTGTGGCAACAGATAGGTTGTGTCTGCTAGGTCAATTCAATCTACTGTAGTTGAGTTTTGGTTCAGTGTAGTCTGTCCAGGTCCTCCAGTAAGTTTCTGAGGGCAAAGAGGATGGGCATTAGGAAGGAAGTAGTCTCTTTCCTCCACACATTTTTGAGAGATGAAGAGATGTCTGTGGTGATTTCTGTCCATCTTTCCAATGCATGGGAAGTGGATCAAAGCATTGCAAAACTTGAGGCAGGAGAAGGATAAACAGATGGACTGACTGTGCAATCTTAAAAGTCTTTTTACTCAAGCATGCAAGCTGAAAGTAACTATCACTCTGCATTTCACAGAGAAATTCTTCTTTCAGTGTACTGCTGTTTTACAATGATAATCACTGAGATATGGTTGCTGAATAGGTAACTTTAAAAGTCAATAATGTTAAATGTATCATTTCTTTATAAACTCATATATCTAAGTTCTTAAGGTGTGCTTCAAAAACATTTAGATACTTCTTTGTTGAAGCATGCTGAGAAGGGATTATCTCATGTGGAGTAAAGACTTTGTAGTAAATTTGTTAGAAAGCACAAAAAGGACTTGTGCAGCATGCAAGATGTAATTGAAGATGTATTTTAATCTGGTTCAATCAGAAGAATACCACAAGTAAAATCTTTTCATTAAATTTAAATTTATTAAGAACTATGGACTCAAGCCAAAATCCACTCCTGTTTAGGAACAGATTCTCAGTGACTTAAACAGGACATAAACTGAAAAATCAGTTTATGGAATAAATTGCAGGAATTGCAGTTATGCAGGTATTCATACCTGCAGCCCTATAGTCCAGATGTGTAATACCCTCTTTTTTTTAGTTTTTTTTTTTTAGGGAAGAAACATGATATATTGTGTAAGTCTTGTTAAACTGGGAATTGAGGGTGGCAGACAGGTCAGAGCTGCGTAGACAACTGAGTTGCACAAGAGCCTTCTGTTCTTGTAAACACTGCAGTGGTAATATGTAGGGAAAGCATTACAAGCAAAAAGGTTTTAATTTCTAGACAGTGTGAGGATACAGGAAGGAAATTTTGTTAGTGAAGGGTTGGAGATTTTTACTGGCGGTGCTTGTTGGTTGTTTTTTAATGCAGAAATTCATTTTTTATTAGAAATTGGATTTGCAAGAATTGGAAGAACATCACAGAACAATTGGATGAAAAGATATATAATGTTCATACGTCTAATTTCTTACTGCTGTTAGAGCTGTGAGAGTGCTTCATTCTTTCTTTATTTAATGCTTAGCTGATTGTGACTGTCATAGATCTGTAGGATTTCCAGAATACCAAACAGGGAAAGAAAGTTAAATGTAAAAACTATTTTATTTTTCTCTCTGTTACAAACTGTTCTTGGAATATTATTTGTCATATTTATAGTGTAGGAAGCCTACAGATTCTTACATTCTTCAAATATGGTGGAAACATCACACTCAATGTGATGAATTTATTTATGAATTTGAGTTTATTCATGAATCTGTGTAGATATCAATTATCTAATCTCCATTGATCAGCTGGTCTCAACTCTGTAATCACTGGAGAGAAACTGGAAGTGGCGAGGAGTGCTTTCCTCCACTTGCTCAGAAGGCCTAAAACCAGCAGATTGAATCATGTTTGGAAAAGGTATTAATCTTTCTCCATTGACCAGCCCAGAAGGCAGGGAGCAGTGGGGAAGGAAGAGATAAAAAAGAAAAATAACAGAGCCTGTTTTTCCAACCAGCGCTTACTGCCTAGTGCTTAGTATAAAATATTTCTAAAATGAGGCAGTAAAAACTGTGTTAATTTGTAGACTGGTCTATATCCCATGGGATATGTTAGCTCTTGTAACATCAAGCTACTAGTATAATATATATATATATATATATATATATATATTTTACTGTGTATTTAAGCACTTTGTTCAATTAGCAGTCGGAACTGAGCTAAATTACTGTTTTTTAGTATATCCTAAATTATCCATAAGCAGATTACATTATCAGCTCACTGTTTTCTTATTGCAGAGAAGCTGGACAAAAATGCCCCTGCAGGTTTAATGCGAATATTTAATTGGCTTTAGGGATAAAACTTTCCCTGTTTTAAAGTAGAAATCCTTTACTGAACCAATATGGTTAGGCAGATTATTTTGTTGTTGGATAAAACAGGAAAAAAAAAATCCATTCCTTAAACTTTTCACACCAAGACTTTGGGAAGTACAGTGGTTTGCATTTGACTTGTGTTCTAGCTTTAGCCAGTACTGCAAAGAAGAGATTTTGGAGTAAAGGCAGTGTTTTTCCTCAATTGTCTATTACTAAAACCACAGTGACTACCACAAAAGCCCAGCGCTTAGTAGCACACTTTGCATCTTGGTATGCTGTATATACTTGACCTTTCTTAGTCCTCAAGTGAAAAATGAATGCACTCAGGGAGAAATAGGGAATGTAGTAACTTTAAAACATCTGCAGGTTTGAATGTCAAAACCACTTCTGGGCTTTAGTTCTTCATGGCAGCAAATTATGTTTTTTATCATCATTTTTAGCATTATTACAGATTTATTTCTCCCCATCACTAAAATATTCATAGCGAGGTGGAGGGAAGCAGAATTGGATCAAAAAATGTTTCATACTTCATTTGCCCTTCACCTTTCTTTGAATCAAGGCACTGAGGAATTCAAAATATTAATTTACTGTATATTACTCTAAACTGTAGGAAAGAATACTGTCTTATGGCAGTCCCACATTCTGAATTTGCGGTCATTGTAACTTATACAGAATTACCTTACCCTGCCATTTAACTCCCTGAATTTGTTTTAGATCTTTAGTTTTAAAAAGACATCAAAACATTCTTAAATGTTTTTTCTTTTTTTTTTTATCAGAATCTTTTTCATCCAAAAGAAGTAATTTTCTATAAAGTCAAATACTGCTAATGTCTTCTCTTGACACATAAACTATTTCTATTCATTTAAGATTTTTTTGCATTTCATTTTAATACATTTCTCTTAACACATTTCTTAAACACTGTTTTATATCATGGAGAGGAAAATTTGCAATTGCAATAGTAAAACAACCACATAACTCATAGTTTGTGAGAGCTCATATGAAAAGAATGTAAATGAGAATTCTCTTTTCCTTTTATGCAGTAATTTCCTTTATGAATCTTTTTTAAAAGACTTATTTGTAGAATTTTTATGGGTTTTTCTCTTTGAAAATATTGCACCATGCTCCTTTCTTGTCTGGTATATTCTAGGATGAGTAGTATGTTTTTCCTTTGTAACTAGTATACAGCACTCAACAGTAGCCACATTTTCATCAGCAATAAATCCGTTTCCATGGCATGCCCTCTTATGATTGTCCTTAATCTTGCTAAGAGGCATGTAGTTTTCCTGGATTTTTGCTTTCCCTATCTAAATAGCTTTACCAGCCATCATCATGTGGTTTCTTGTACTCAGAATTGTTTATTTCATTTGCCTTCAGAGGAACTGTTCTCTCCGTCTGACGCAACTGATATTTATTTCCTAACAAAGTGAACAAATAGATGAGGCTCAGCTGTTT